GCTTACTCAGCTGATTTGAACAGATATTCCACACTTCCTCCTGTGTTTTTCTTTGTTGAATTTCTAATCAGGATCCTACAACTTGCATTAGTGTTGTTTGACTTCCTGAGGCAGAGATAGAGCAAAGTGTTAAAACCTACAATCACATTGAGGTATTTTTTCAACACTCCACGGTATTTTAAGAATCACCTCTTTTTATATTCCATTCCATTTCCTTCGCCTTTGCCATTGTTGAGTATTTCTCCAACATGCAAGTAGTTAGAAGCTGTTTCCCTGAAAATGAAAATCTCCCTTCAAAGTGTTCGATTTGTTACAGCATTTATGATGTTGTGGTCATTTCAATGCTGGATACATCATTATGGCACAAGTGCCATATATGGAAAAGTCACAAAAAAATTGAAGTAGGGCTATGGTAATTAGCAAGACAAAGATCAATCTCCCTAAGGCAGAATTTGAAAGAATAAGTCACCGTTAGAGGGACAAATAGAAAATAGAAGAGAGAAAAAGCCAAGTCGGATTCAATCCAAAAATCGATTATTTGTGAAAATCAGTAACCCTTTCCCTTTGAGGAAATAAAAATCAATAGTTTCTTAGTATATTGAAGGCTGGAATTATGCCTTATAGATCTTTGCTATAATCAATACCTTATTCATACTATGTGCTTTAGAAGAGTTAGATGGTGATGGGGAGGTGGCAATACGGATAACAATGAACTCCACCATTTATGAAAGCTTATTAATTTGTGAGGACTCTTTTTTATGCTTTTCCTTACAAAATATTCCATATTTTCTGAGATTCTGTTCAATATAAGATCTGGACATGCCTTGTGGATAGAATTAAGGTAAAATATGGTCTTCGAAAAGTGATTTTACCTTAAATGGCAGGAGTTCTCAATGGAGGGTGATTTTGCTTCCCAGCGGACATTTGGCCATGTCTGGAGACATTTTTGGTTGTCATAACTGGGGGGTGGGTTGCTACTGGCATCTAGCGAATACAGGCCAGGGAAGCTGCTAAACATCCTACGATGCACAGAACAGCTTTCCACCACATGGAATCATCTGGCCCAAAATGTCAATAGTGTTGAAGCTGAAAAATGATATTTAATGAGAGTGGGGAAAACCTACTTTCTAGATTTGTCATATCAGTCTCTTTGCCTATGATATTGTTAGGTAGTAGCGAGGGATTCCAGGTCTCCTAGGGAGAAAGTGGGTGCTGCTGCAATTCACCCCTCCATGGGCTTTCAGAGAGCCTCATGGGAGATCTGCATGTGCAGTAAGACTCAGGTCATGCAACTCCCAGCTGTCCAATCAAAGTGGTTCCATCGTGATGTCTGACCCACAGGGAGGTCCCAGTCCAGGAACGATAAAACAAGACACAGACCATAGCCAGTCCCTTTTTTTTTGCACCCTTCTTTTTGCTCTCCGTTTGCTGTGGCAATGGGTCCAGTTGTCACCTGTGGCATATGCTCTGTAAACCTATATCTTGCTATTGCTCTATAATCCCATCTTTCTCTCCTCAATAAATCTCATTCTCATGCTTGCCTAACTTTGGCGTGTCTGGTCATTCTTCGGCCATGGGTGCACCAAGAACCAACATTTCAGACTGAAACCTGACAATATGACATTAAACCCTGGTCTACATAGACCACTTACCACTATGGTCAAGGCTGTAAAAATAGAAGAGAAAAGAGTGTGTCCAAATTTTTAAGTCTCGATTGCATTTTGACAGTCCCAGCTGCCATGGTGTTTGAATAGGCCAGGCCATGTGAGTAAACCTATCCTAGAAGCCAGGTAGATCTGGGCTTAAATTATTCACATAGTTGCTTCCATTTTTGGCTTTCAACCACTTTTGCAGTTGTGGCCTCTAGTTGCAAACTACCCTAGGAGAGTTCAAACAGACATACATTCTCAGCCACCAAGTGGAAAACCAGAATATTTCCATATCTACAGAGAAGATGAGCCACTAAGCTCCAAGACTGACAAGCAACCTAGGCAAAGCTTGGGCCCCTGCCTAAATCAGCTTCTTAATTGCACTAGATCCTCTGCTAGGTTTGTCCTGGAATTCATATAGTAATGCCTAACATTTGTAAGGTGTTTTACCTTTCAAAAGGATTTTCCTTTGTATATCCTTGATCTTAAGAGGTAAGTAGAATAGGGCAGGAACAGGATAGGGTAGGAGCAGACAGAGAAATTTTGGTCTTATCTGCAATCCACTGGGAAAGCACCAAAATTCAGAAGCACACATAATCCCCATATATTAAAGACAATTGCACTGTATACGGGGCCCTTGAAGGAAACGGCTCACAACAATAGAGCTTTCCTTCTTCCTGAGCACTGCTTCTGGTTGCAGCCTGGACTTGAAGTGGAAGTCTCAGCTGAACTGCAGTTTGGCCAAAAACAGGGTGATGCCCCAAAAATCTTGTCCATGATCACATATCCTACTCATCCCTCATGCCAAAGGAGAGACTCGCTTAATCACAATATATCCCTCTCTTGTTTGGGAGGCTGTACATTAGTTTGCCCGGCCACAGTAAAGCTGCCTTTGAATGAGAGAAAGGTGTCAGAATCAAGTGATTTTTTCCCAGCTACCCGCTAGGCCAATCTTTAGAAACACTTCCTGAAGTATTTAAATAGAAGGGAGGGGGAGGTTCCACCCTCGCCCCTGCCTCCACCATACTCCTCCCCCTAGATACAAACTCTTCATTCTCTCAGGGAATACTTTTCTCCAATGCTTGCTCCCATACAAAAGCTTAATACTCTCCAAAATATTGGACCACCTCGGCGCTGGGGGGACTAAGGATAACAGGAAAACTTGTCTTGCTTGGTGTCCCGAGGGACTCTCCCAGGTTAGCCTAGGAGGAGAGTTCCTAGGGCTCTCACTAAAATAACTAATGCCAGCTTCACGGGCTCGGCAATGGAAACGCTTGGCCATTTAGGCAGGGGAGACGGTTCTGGCTTTTTCTGGAGCTCGATTCAGGCTCGCAGTGCGTGCCCAAGGGGTTAATCAGGGGGTTAAGGAGACAGCTTAAGGAAGCACAGCGGAGCTTTCTTGGAGCTCAGGATGGTTCTGAGAATAAGTAGGGAAAGGGGATTCAGGTAACAGACGAGTGTCCAGAAAGTCAGAGCCTCGCATTCCCTTTTCCAGAGAGAGCTCGAGAGGGAGATAAAAGACAAAGCCGAGATTTGGGGCCCTGCGGCTGGCCGGGCCATGAGATGCTGCCAGCTAGCTGACCTAAGCGCCTGCAGGTTGCAGGTCGAAATCTCAGGCTTGTGATGGGGGTGGGGCCATCTAGTCAGTTCCAGGAGGGTTCAAGAGGGTGGGCATTGTGACGTCAGGGTGCCGGGTGAGAGACTGGGGTGGAGAGGTGCGTCGCGTGACACAAAGGGGCAAAGATCAAAGAGTCGCCCAAGTGTCCGGTGACACCACCCCCACCCCAGCCAACACTAAGCAACTTAGCCCCTCATCCTACAATACCACTATCCCTCCTTGCTTCAATCTAGGCTGGGTCTTGGGAGACCTACCTTATGGGTGAGAGGGGCATGGATGGGAGAATTAGGTTGCGCTCCGACTGGGTTAAACTAGACCCACCAGGGATGGAAGCCGGCAGGATACGACTCCAGGTCAGCCTTGGCGATTCAGGGTCCTGCCGTCCCGTTCTCCCACCGGCCGCCCGCCAGCTCAACTCCCCTTCCCCCAGAATGACCCATGGGTGACGGCGCACGCAGCCTGCCCACTGCCGGCCCAGACCCCAGGCTGAAAGGGGTGGGCAGAGGTCACTGCCCAAAGCAGGGAGCACTCAGGCCAAGAGGCAAAGAGAAATTCTGCAAGCCAACCGCCCCAAGGGGCTCCAGTCCCTCTACCCGCACCCGCGCTTATCCTCCCTCCACCCCTCCGGTCTCTGCCACCACCCAGGGGAGGGGGAGGCCTGGGGAAGCAAAACGAACGAGACAGAAAATTCCGTACCGAGGGGGGAGAGATGAGACGGTGGGACGGGGCAGCGGGGGGCTGACTTGGGGCTGCGGCTGCGGCTTCCTTCCACCCCTGGCCACTGAGCTGCAGAGAAGGCAGAAGCTGCTGCCCCTGCAGGCTGCCCCGTCCTCCTTCTTTCCCTCCCCCTCCTTCCCGCCTCCCCCGCCCCGCCCCTCCCGCCCCATCCGCAAGCCCAGAGAGTGAGAGAGTCTTCGGCCGGGGGCTGGGGGAGGTGAGAGGTGCTTTCGCCAACCACCAGTGCGCCCGCTTGCGCTCTCTCTCTTTCTCTCTCCCTCTCTCTCTCCTCTCTCTCTCTCTCTCTCTCTCTCTCTCTCTCTCTCTCTCTCTCTCTCTCTCTCTCTCTCTCTCTCTCTCTCTCTCTCTCTCTCTCTCTCTCCACACACACACACACACACACACACACGCCCCACATCACAACCGCGACGGGTTCTCCGCAGCTCGCAGCCACCCCAACGGGAGGGAGAAAGAGAACCTGAGCAAAAGGAAGCCAGGCGCAGATAGAAGGGAAAAAGAAGAGCTCAGGGTTGGACATTTTTGGAGCTAGGGGTGGGGAGGAGAAAGGGAGTGCGCCTCCTCGAATTTCCCTTCCCCACCCCTCTTTGCTTTTCTCTCTCCTTCCCTGTATAGCATTTTCCAGAAGCGGTAGAAGGGGACACAAACCTCTAGTCTAGAAAAGGGATTTGGAGGGGTGGCCGGGGCTCCTGCCAGCCGCTACCTAGCAGCTGGAGCTTGAGTGTGCGTGTAAGAGTGTGAATGCGGCTCGCTCTCTAGCTCGCTCTCGCTGCCTCGCTCTCCCTCTCCCCTCTCCCCCTTCTCCTCCCTCCCACCCTCTCCCTCTCCTTCACACTACGGAGTCAGCTACCCCTGTCAGTTTCCCCCGCGTCAGTTTCTTCCCTTGCTCTTATTGTGTGTGGCTGGCTGCGCTAAGGGTGTGCGTGCGTTTGAAGGGGCTCAGGTTGGGTCAGAGAACCGGGAGAAGCGAGCAAGAACAGGGCAGGGGCACGGGTAGAGCAAAGAGTTTCGGGGCGCTGGCGAAGGTGAAAGGTGAGGAGGGCCAGCCTGTCACGGAGAAGTTTGGGAATAACTGAGGCGCGAAGGGGGAAACCAAGGTAAGGAGCCAGTACTTGGGCTCCTCTCCGCACCCCGCCCCTTTCTCCGTGCTCATCCGCCCGCCCACCCGGCAGCCTCGAGGCCCCGGGCTGTCCCAGGCGGCTGCAGTTTGCGCGCCGCGGTAGAGGAGTCCAGCAAGGTGCAGCGCCACGCGTCCTGGCTCGCGGACATCAGACGACACAGATCTGAAGAAACCACTTGGCCGGGGGTAAGTCGACAGGCGGCCTGGTGCCGTCCGCTTCGCTGCCGTTGCGCTGCCAAGGGGAGAGAGGCGCCGAAGTACGGATTGAATGAAGGCGCTAGGCTGCTGTGGGCTGGGAGGAGCTGGCTGGCTGGCTGTGGGCTCCAGGTGGTAGGGAGCAGAGAGAGGCCAGTAACAGATTGTTTTGGGACACAAGAAGAGAGATGCAACAGGGGGAAGCTTGAGGGGTGATAAGACAAGGTGCTGTCTGCAATGGCCAAAAGCATCCTTCTCACTGGGAATATTCTCCCAAACCAGAGCTTTGCTCTATCCCTGGACAGTGATTTGCTCTATCCTTGGGTATATATTCAGCTCCCCAGGAAACCTGCTGCCAGGCCTCCTCAGAATCCGGCTGAGATGGGTGTGGGAATAGGGATACTTGCCCTTTGCCAAAAGCCACCTTCAGAGGCAGAGCCGGGGGTCGGCTCATGAAGGCTCAGGGACCAAAACCTTTCTGTTTTGTATCCTTCAAACTTAAGAAATGTCCAGATTCGATTCGTTTGCTTGGCTTCTTTAAAGGAACCATGAAATGCAAATGGGGGACATCAGTCAGATCTCTACTCCAAAGTGGACAGCTCTCTCCCCACCACACACACATTCACTTGGGCAAATGGGCATCATCATGTCCCACGTATGCAGGTACTGAGCTGAATTCACAGATCCTGATCTTTCTCCATGGTCTCTTAGAATGAGACTTGAGAGAAGGACTTTTCCCCATTGCCAACCTGAGATCCTTGAGCTACAGTTATGTACCCTGGTGGTGGTCAAGCGTTTAGCAAGGTTATCACTTCCTCATTAAAAGCCTGGAACTGAGAAACCAGCCTGGGAGACAGGATCTGTGAACTTTACCTGAGTTTATTATAAGATATGAGTAGGAGAGACACAGACTAATCAATAATGCTCCCTTTAGAGACTGTGTGTGTTAGTCCTGGCTTCAGATGAGAAATAATTACTACACTGACATAGCACCCAGACTCACTTGTCTATTGCAATATATTTATCTTCATGGCATTTAGCAGGAATGACAGGTTTATATATCAGCATTCATCATTGTCTGGTTTTGGTCTCTTAGATTTTTTTGATGTTCTACGGAAGATCTATATCATGTCTCCTTTCCTATAAACTCTTAAAAAGCTGAGATATAAATAATGTCAAATGGTCCCTTTCATCCAGTCTTTAAAATCTGCATATTCTAAATCACAAGGCATGGTAATTACATTCACGTAGTACCAAGTTGGATTCAAAGCAAATATTTACCCTGGGATAAAGGAAACTCACAGGGTCAAAAGGAGTCTCTGATGCTCTGCCTGTGAGGTTGAAGGAAGAACTGAATGTCACTTAAAATCTATGCTTTGGTCCCTGGGAGATGCTGTTTTCATAAACTTTACATATATGTGTATATACGTGTAGTGTGTGTGCATGTGTGTGTATTTTTTCAAGGACCTGGCTCAACCCCATACAATCTGGGCTCTGTGCTTTCGTAGTGTATGTGGAGGCGGGGGAGGGTTGAATTTGTGCTTCCAAAGCATCCAGCCTCTTCTGTTGAACTTTCTATTTATTACTACGTTACCGAAATACAATGAATTACCTCCTTCCAACTGAGCAAATGAAAGAAACAGATTCTGCATTAAGTGGAACTGTTTATGTTGCATCAGGCAATTTGTTCTAATGCTCATTGCTGAGAGACAGAGCAGAACCGAGGATTACAGAAGGTACCCATTCTGTTACTTTTTTAGGCAATTGTAAGCAAATATCTTCTTAGGTTAAAATTACACTTCCCCATAGATTGCAAAGACCAGGTTGCAGACAGGTAGGAAAGATCCGGCAGTTTCATGATTGGGGAAGTAGCAACAGGAATGAAACCTACAGTGTAGGTCTTTGCTCTGTTCTTGGTGATGTGAGTACCGGGCTGCTGAAGTGCATCCTGACCTATGGTTACTCAGGAAACAAGGAGGTGGGCAGGTGCAGGGATTCTGAACAAATGTGGCCCACAGTCTAACTGATACAGATTCACCTGGCTTCAGTGTATGTTTTAACATAGACACTTGGACCAGATAGTATCTGCCGTCCTTTCCAGTCATAAGAGCCAGAATCCTGTGATTCTATTCATTCTAGAGCTAACAACTAAAACCAGAATGGCATGCAGAACCACAGTGCTTAGGGAAGGCTGAGCCAGGAAATTAGAGATGCAGAGGGAGGAAGAGGAGAGGAATAGGAGAGAACCAAAGATGTTTTGAAACACATGGAAAGAAAACCATCCAGGTGTTTGCTTTGGCTGGGAATTAAATTAGTCCAGAAAAATTAACTCAGATGTGAAGCACCTTAAAATTGCCTACAATTTGACTTATAAACACTGAGTAAACAGTGATAGAATTCCTTAGAACCAGGGAATTGGGAAACTTGGAAGACATTTTCAGTGTTGCCATCTCATTTCACTCTTTGGCATATTAAATTCTAATCTGCAAGCCATTCAGGTGCTTAATTATCAAGTGGATATTTCAGATGTGTCATGCTACTTCCCTCCTGCCTTCTTTCAAACATTCTAATTTGTCTTTTGCCATGGCTCCATTGCTGAAGGAGATGGACCAAAGCGTTTCTGCCTGCTCTACTTCTGCCACAGGTTCCTGTTTTCAGCTGAGTACACTAAGCTGTTCAGATGCCTCCTGCTCACCGATGGGGAATATGAGGGGCAGGACCTCTCTCCCCAGAGCACCCTGTGCCCTAAGGTACCACCAACCTAATCTGGCCCAATCATTTTCCAGGTTTTCAAGAAAGACATGACAAAGTTTGCAGCCTGCAGACAGAAATAATGCCTCATTCTAGGAAGAAGTTGCAGCTAATCAACTCCAGATAAAGGCTAAACTGAGGCTAGCCATTATGTCCAGAGCTTAATAGCTGATGCATCCATAGTGTCATCCCTTCTAAAACTTTTTAAAACTCATGAAGCTTTCCTTCTGTTGATGGACCACTCAAGCCCTTTGTCCAATGAGACCAGCAGACCTGTCGTGCCAGCAAGGAATGATTCCTGAATGACTCAGCTGTGGTCTTATAAACAGACATGTACATTATGCTCAACTGGATGAGAACAAATAATTTTAAAATATTATAAAAGCTGATGGGGCTAAACACAAATTACAGTTCACTGGGTCAAGGGAACTTTGCAAGTTTCCTAGGTTTGGCTCTCTGTCACCCATCATGGAGTTGGCTCTTGCATACTGGTGGCCAATGCAATTGCCCCAGCTTTTTGGCTTAACAAAGGCAAAGAAAAAAATGATGGTAAGAAACAAGCAGGGATCTTGACAAGGTCTAATCCCCTCGTTTCACCTATAGATAATTTGAGGCCCGGAGAGTAGAAATGACTTGCCTAAATCACATAACTAGCTAATGACAGAGTCAAAATCAGAACCCAGGACTGCCTGCTAATACTGAATAAACCTTCTGAAGCTCTCTAGAGATCTTCCCAAGAAATTTAGAGGAAACTTAAACAAAATCTACCAAGATCACAACCCTCTACTTCCATCCCATATTTATATTTACATGTTTATATTGCATGTTACTGCCATGTCTTTGTGACTTATATTCTCACCACCTGCCCCCCAACACACACACACACACACGCACACACACACACACACACACATACTCGCACACAATCCTATCTTGCCAGCTAAGAAAACATGGCATGTGCCCACAGTTATAATACTCGGAAGGAAGGTAGAATTAAACATGACAAAAATTTAGCTGCTCACATTTATGTAGCTGATCTGGCTCAAAGCATCAACAGTAAGGCATCTAGAAATCCCAGTCTCTGCTGTTCCGTAGTATTAATAGTTTTGTAGAATGGAAGCTGGTAGAATCCGGTGCCTGTGGCTCTATATACTCAGTTGCAGTCTCACAATCAGCACCCTCAAATGCATGCGCATGCATGAGCACGTGCACACAGACACACACAGATACACACACACACACACATAGTCACGTACTTCCTGGAAAATTAAAACAAAGGAAATAGAAAAGACAGACAAGTGGTTTTTGTAGCAAAGTATGAGAAGAGGGAAAGCTTTGCAGAGGGTTAATTGTTACCTACCTCCATTCTTTAACCTTGCTGCTTAATTCCCATTAATCCCACCCTCATTTCATTTAGGATCTGAGAGAATAGGCCAATGCAAACATGTTTACTACAGTTTGGAAGGATGATATAAAGAGCTTCCACATTATAGTGAGGACATCACAAGGTTAGGAAAGAGGCTAGGTGGGCTAGAGCTTTGCTACTTCAAGTGTGGATCCCACACCAGGAATGCCACTGTCCCCCGGGAGTTATCTATAAATGTAGAATCTCAGGCCTTTCCCCAGACCTACTGAATCAGAATCTCCTTTTTGTGAAGATCCCCAGTGATTTGTTTTCATACTAAAATTTAAGAAGCACTGGGCTAGAGTTTACCAAAAAAAGCATCTGAAAGACATTTGAAAATAAACAATTACCTACTGGGAATTTAGGGATAATTCATGTGGCTTATCATTTAAAAAAATAAAAATATAAACTTTCCCCAGGTCCACTGCTCTCGTTATCCAGTGTAAAAGCCCTAAGTGTGGGCAAGAGAATTTGTTCAAGGGGTGTCAGATAATAGGATTCGTTCTGTTTACCAGAGGACCTGGGTTTGTGAATTCACACAAACCTGAGTTCAAATCCTGACTCTGCCCACAAATTACTACCTGTGTAAACATGCACAAGTTACTTTGCCTCTGAGCCTCAGACTCCTCATCTGTAAAATGGGATTAATGATAGTACTCACTGGCATTGGGTTGTTGTGAAAATTAAATAAGACACTATAAGGCACTGGCATATGGTGAACAATCAATAAATAAAAGATTTTATACTTCATATGATTTGGTCAATAATTTTCATTTGCTGGAAAATAGCCACTGGATATGATATCTTGGGGCACTTAGCATCTATTTCTAATTGA